CCGCACTGACACTCCTCTGCCTGGCAGCCCGGGGCTAGGGATACCCGGAGTCTTGGGCTCGGGTGGAAGGGCCCACGGGCGCCGGCAGCCCGGGACGTGTCTGCGGAGGAAACTGGCTGTACACCATGAGTTTTGTCCCTCTTCGCTCGCCGTCCGGCGGGGGGGAGGCGTAATGAGCAAGGGTGGGGGTGTTTAAAGGGCCACTAGCTCCAGGGTGGGGCCGTGGCACGTGGGGCCCGGCCGGGTGGGCGGGACGGAGGAAGGTGGCGGCTCTATTGAGAGTGGATGGGAAGGGCGTGGTGCTGTCCAGAGTTCGAGTGCCATCCTCCAAGCCCGATAAGAGTTAGTAGGACAATTTTATCTGCAATTAAGTCGTTGTTTATAATGGATAGGAGTCCTTATAGGATTCAAACTAAAAGGCTTCAACAGAGGTACAACCAGCAAAGGAGTTACATTTTTCCCTGGTAAGATTTGTTTCTAAGGAGCCCTGGTGGTATAGTAGCTTATGAGTTAAGCTGCCAACTACAGGTCAGCAGTGCAAAACCAGCAGCCACCCAGCAGGAGAAAGATAAGGCTCTCTACTCAGGATTTACAACCCTGGAGACCCATCATGGTCACTGTGGAATTCGAATCGGCTCAATGACAGTGACAGCGAGTTTGACTGGAGTTTTTTTGTTTGCTCTGGAAGCCTTTCTTTCCGGCACTGTACTCTTATATGGTAAGGTATGATACTGCCATAGTGTAGATCTTTACTCTTAGTGAGTCTGTAGGGCAGAGTAGAACTTCCCCTGCGTGCACTAAGACTGTAATTTTTTATGGGAGAAAGCCTATCCCACGGAGCAGCTGCTGGTTTGGAATTGCTGACCTTGGGGTTAGCCGCCCAACCGGTAACCCACTGCTCCACTCCGGGTTGTTGCAAAGTATGATGAGGGTGCAAATAGTTTCTCATGGCCTTAACACCAAGTGCCCCAAATGCCCGAGTGTGGGTTGAAGCTTGCCCTCAGATTTTTTTCCTCTGTCAGGTTCTTGCCCCGTAGAAAATTGTTTCAACAAAACACTATGGGCAGAGAATTAGGGCAGTGGTGGACTTACTCTGGTTTGGAAAGGCTGCCTTAAAAAAATTATATATATAGCACTATATATTACCACCAAAGTTACTATATATAGTTACATGTACTGAATATATATATATATACATATATATATATGGTGGTTTATATTTCAATCCGTTAACTTTGTATTCCACAGTCTAAACTTCCAAACAAACCCTTCAAGTGCTGATTTCCTTGCCCTCTGATTTTCCTTCTCCCCTCTGCGCATCATTGTCTTCCATTCCACTTCCATTTCACCACCTAGCGTGTTGCTTTGTTCCGCCCCCCCACCCCGCCCCAAACACACACACCCCTCCACCTGAGTTGGCAAATGCATACCACCTGAGTTGGTATGAATGCATTTATCTTGATTTTTTTCAATGTTGCTGAGTTGGCAAATGCATACCACCTGAGTTGGTATGAATGCATTTATCTTGATTTTTTTCAATGTTGCTGATTCTAGAGGCATGTTTGCCAGCATGCCCAATGTTTAGCGGTCTCCTCAAGGTGCCAAAGGTAAGCTGTGGCCTGCTAAATCTAATAGAAATATGAGAACTGTTTTACAACCAAGAGAGATGCCCACAGGCAGTGTTTACTAATACAAGGCCACCATACCACTCGAGGACTCTATCTGCTACACAGCCAGTCTGGAAGCTCAGGGACTCATTCCTGTCTTTGCTTCTGCAGAGTTCTGCCCAGTGACTGGCACATAGTGGCTGCCAGTGGCTATCTTTGAGAAAATAGACGAAGAACAGCAGTTGACCTGTGGAAACGATACCACACATATCGGAAGTTTTGTGTTCAGTATGACCACCACTCAGTGCCTGATATGGCGGTCTCCTGTAACAAACAAAACACACCAAGCAGCTGCTTTTCGCTGGGCATCTTTCTTTGTGTACGTGTGTTTTCACAGCCAATGTCCACCCAACGCCATGGAGTGACTTCCTGCTCACAGCAACTCCATGTGTTACACAGTACAGCTGGTTCATAGGCTGTGATGGTCATGGAAATAGATCGTAGGGTAGGTGTGAACTGTCAGCCTTTAGGTTAGTAGCTGCTTGCAACAGCCCTTCCAAGCCAGTTGTCTGTTTTAAAGGATTTCTCTCATGATCACTGAACATTCATGGGAGCTAGTGCTCAAATATGAAATACTCTGACTTTTAACCGGCTGCAAGAGACTGGCTAGAGACAATCATTTTTATTGTTGTTGAAAAAGTATATATATATATATATGTATATATAACACAGCATTTGCCTAGTTGATACTTTTATGTACAAGTTAGTAGCCTCAATCATCCTGTGCATCCACCACCAAGACCCAGTGCCAAATTCCCAGACTGTGACCATAAATTCTGCTTCCTAAACAATTACTTCCCCCGGCCCCTTGGTAGCCACTAACTTTGGTTAGAGTTAGTCTTTAGAACAGATGTGGCAAGTAACTTAAAAATCAGTTGAGCTCATCCTTGTTCCAACTTTGACATCTGGATTTACTTTATAGTTGAGTACGCCCCCTTCCCCCCCAAAAAAAGCGCCTTTTTGTTGTTGTTGTTCTTTGACTACATATTTCTTTCATTTTGCCTGTAGACACAACCTCAGTCCTGGGTCATTCCACTGAGCAAACACTTACTGAGTGCCCACCAGTGTTTGAGTCCCAGTAAGTCCCTGGGAACAGGGATGCAAAGATGGAGAAGAGCACACAAATGACTGTGGAAGGTAAACTTGTTAACAAGTTTTGCAATAATCCAGGACCCATGTGCTTCAACAGGGAGCCACTGAGCGATTTGCACATGGTTCTCCTGAGAGCTCACCAGCCGCTGCCAGTTTGTCATACTGTGGTGGTTTATATGTTGCCCTGAAACTGGAAACTATGCTCCTAGTGTTTCCAATAATCAGCAGAGTCACCCATGCCAGACAGATTTCAGAAGAGCCCTGATTAAAACAGGTGAGGAAGAAAGGTCTGGTGATTTACTTAAGAAAATTAGCCAATGAAAACACCATAAAGCACAATTGAATAAATGCCAAGATGGTGCTGGAAGATGAGCCCCCTGGGTTGGGAAAAAACCCTCAAACTATGACTAGAACAGCTAGAACAAAGGCCGTTGGCATACCAACAACTATGAAGGTGACACAGGACTGGGCAACATTGTTCTCGTTACAACTCAATGGCAATGAACAAGTAATTATCGAAGTCATGACATTGAATTGTATCCTGAAGATCAGAGACCTGCCTACAAGAAAAGGAGGAAAGGAACATCCAGGAAAGGAGTTTGGGACATGAAAGAATATGGCGTGTTGAGGAGGATAAATAACTCACTGTCAAGATGTGTCTCCAAATGTTAACCGTGTACACTGTGACAGCAGAATCATGTCAGGAACCAGTTCTAAATAAGACCATATCTTGATCTTCAAAGAGCCCAGGTCACACAATAGTTAAGTTCCCAGCTGCTATCCCAAAGGTTGGTGGTTCAAACTCACCCAGTGGCTCCACAGGAGAAGGGCCTAGTGATGTGCTTTTGGTAAAGATTGCAACGTAGAAAACCTGTGGGGTAGTTCTGCTCTGTCACATGGTATTACTATGACTTGGTGCATCCTACCAACGACCTTGATCTTCAGCACTTGCCAATGGAGGCAAGAGTTGCATGTTGAGAACAATTTCCTGTATCTATGTGGAGGGTGACAGAGAGGGAATTTGGAGACAGAGTGTCAGGATATAGTGAAGACAGGTGATTTGGCCTTGAGATAGGGAAGTGGTAGAGAGCTGCAGAGGCTTGAGTCATTTAGGAGATAAAATTGACTGTACTTGTGTGTTAGGTTGGGTTCCCTTGAGAAGCAAAGCCAGTGTGTATACAGAAAGAAAGTAATCAGGTCAGAATCAGGGTGCTCTAGTTTACCATCAACTTTAATCACGTGGTGGTACTAAGAGACGGCCTAAGGAATCTCCTGGATTCCAAACCCACTCTTCTTTACCTCCATTATTTAATACCAACCCAGTTTCCCCTTGTTAGTCAGGATCAATCACACCATTTAATACAGCAACACCCTTCTTTACCTGTTGATCCAGGGCAGGAAGAGTTCAACATGGCCAGGACACATTTTTAACTTCCAGTTCAATAGAATCTGTGCTGTGTCTCCAGGTGAGAGTATTCCTCCCTTTGGAACTAAGACCTCCAGACCTGAAAAGCATAGGGTTTCAGGGACA